TTAAATGTTTTAGATCGTTTGTAATGTGAAAGTTAAAATTGAGCATTTTTTAAGTATATTTAATGCCTCACATTTAAAATTAGAATTAGAATCACAAAAGATTAGGCTCTAGTTATCGAGACTTCACAGTGGCCGGTTAATAAAAGATATACATTGTATTTATATCATCAGAATCATACAGATTGGCAAAAATCGCGCCACGTTTATTTATTTAACGCTTTATAAAAACTCAGTTTATTTGCGGCAAAAATACAAAAATTGCGTACAACAACTGCACTCTTTGTCTTGATGCATCTTGATTTGTGTCGATAGGACACTCGGACCAAAAGATATCGAATTTTTACCGTCGAGCTGATACAAATTTTATTTAACATGGACTTTGCGCGCGCAACCGACATTTAAATCGACGGTGTCTTCAAGCGTTATTTCTGAGAGAACGGTTCATTCTACACAAAAAGTTCTAATAAACATTTTTGTTTAAAATTATCTCAGCTAAACTTTTTGGGGTCTCTAAATTGATATTCTCCGCAAAATTAAGCTCGTTCGTATGCTTTTTATTGGTCAACACTCTGAAATTTTTAAAGACGGGCTTTCACGTTCTAATTTGAAGTTCCACTTGGTAGGACTACCAGTTAGATTGTTAAATAGTCAGCTCTACTTACGCTCCGACTTGCTATCAAACTAGTTCTCCAACTTCGGTTCTAGTCTGTTTTCACGGTGGTGAACCTCGTTCAGTCAAAAATGTACCGACCAAAGTCTAAGCAAAATATAATTAGTAGGGAAAAATGGCAGATTGTGCTTGTTAACCACATTATTTGAAAAGAAGGAAAACAATGTTGAATGAAGAAATTATTCGTTGATCGATCATGTGAACTATTGTGACACAAAATTGCTTAATCTCATTGAAGAGGATGATAACAAAAACTACCTCCGAACGCTACGTTGGCAGTGTATTCGTACTTCAACATCACATTCAGCAGGTGTTGTTGACCTAGTAAATACTACAGAGACTACCTTTGTAAATATTAATAAGTTCAGAAATTCCTTCACAGTTTATTACGGAAGGCAGGCGTGCGGTAGGTACCCAAGGTCAAGCTTTGGAATTTTGAATTATCGGGAAGGTACGCAAGATGATCCAAGTATTACTATAGATACTTCAGAAAACTATCAAAATAAGCAACCAAAGCATGCGACAAATTAAAAATAGTAAAACCGTGATAAAATAGTAAACAAAGGAGACCTCATCAATCATTATTATTATTCTTCAACCTGCCTAAGAAAAGTAATGCGAAATCCGAAAATAAATAGGGCAAAACTTCAAAATATAATGTATGGAATGGACATATAGCAATGTTGAAAAGCGAGTATTTATCAAGGAAGGTAAAAATTCAGCTATATAACATAATGATACAAATAAAGGAAACATACTGCAGTTAGACAGGCACAATGACAAAAAATGATCAAAATTTTCTGGAGATTCGGGAAAGGAAAGTTCTGCGGAAGATATATGGGGGGAATTTATATGAGAGAATCAAAAAGACAGCCTATGGGTGAGAAGATCAAACGACGAGTTGAAGGAAGTATACAATCAAGCTAATATAATAGGGGTGGAAAAAGGAAAGACCAAGACATCGATGGAAAGCAAAAGATCGAAAAAGATATGGAAAGAATGTATCTAAAAGGTCGGAAAGGAAAAATTAATGACAGAAGGGAGAAAATCACTATCAAGCTATGGAAGAACTCAGCACATAAATAAAATGAAGAAAGATGACAAACAGAATGAAAAATTGAAGACATTTGTTGTAAAACAGCAAGTTATATTAAAATTAGTTTATATTTCGTTTTCACAAATATTGGCTTGAATCTTATGTGACAGACTGTACTTCTTGCCTAAAAAATATTTGTCTCATAAATGCCTTATAAGGGCCTTGGGTTATAACCACTGACGGTACTTGTTACCTCCTCTCTCTTCGTCTCAAAAATTCAGTGAAAAGTGGATTAGTTTTCGGTATATTTGCGCGCCTAAAAAACACCGATATAATATAAACAATTTGGTAAAGCAAACTCTTTAATTAGTAATACTTAGTGGTTTTGTAGATATTCTCTAGTTATAAAATGTGTAGTATCGATTGATTACGCTTTATTTTTCTCTAAGTACAACGCGATTAAACCAAACACATAAGAAAACATCGCCGTGAAGTCTGCTTACATACATCGAAGGAATATCTTTAACAGTCCATGGTCCTAAAATATTTGGTACTGAACCCGCTGGGAAAAGGAATTTAATAAGCTTTCCCCCAACAATTGGTGGAGATCAGATAAAGTTCCATCAAAATTTTTTAACCATAGATCTTAGTTTTTATATATATTCTTATTACCGTCTCTACACCGCTGTATAAGCACCTGGAGAGCTGCTTCTTTAGTTCTAAATGATTTCTGAAAGCCAAACAGATCTATCAATATTTGATTGATATTGATTATATTTATATTATTCTATAAATAATCTTGGTGAATGCTTTACTGATGCGATTTAATAAGTAAAGTTAAGTAAAGTAAAGGCAGGGCGAAAGATGGGGGGAATGGAGACGAATTCTTGAACAGGCCAAAACCCACCCAGGGTTGTAGAGCCAAAGATGATGAAGGATTTTCACGTTTCTAATATCATGACTATATTATGACGATAATCGTAAATAACCAATATTCATTAACAGAGGAAAAGCAAATAAAAATGCAAGATATTATTTTTTAAACTGTGTAACTTCTCATTTCTGTCTTAAAATGACTTCTTTACGATATATATTATAAAAAATAAAATAGAGAATACAGCAATTTTTAAAGCAGTCGACTTAGTATGCTATGTAATGTTAGAGACGATTTTTCGTGAATTCTGATAAAATTTTAGGCTAATAATTACATTTTCATAATTTAAACTTTCCCCACCACTACCTGTACCAGCTGATCAATGAATTTTGTAATATCGTAGATAGATATACTATAGTTCTTTAAATATAACATTGGAAATTGTATCTTTTCCGGTATTTTATCACAAAGTCATATGATTCCATAAAAACAGCTGATTTATATTATCGAATGAAATAAAAGTATAAAATAGATTCTTAATATCACTTTACGTTCACTGATCCTTCTATTACTGCGATGTTTTCCCGATTTGCTCGTCTTAACTAATTTGAGAACTGAAATCGTAGTTTGTTCCCACGAAGACTAAACGCTCGGCGCATTCTACTACCATCATGAGTGTGTTTCCGATAACCGCACGTAATTCTGGAATATAATAATAATTGTGGGGTCTCTGGCCGGTAGCCTTTGCCTTTACGACAAAACCTTTATGCTACAATAAAAAGTCGTAGAAAAATGCAAAAACGGCTCCAGGTGTGATGGTGGCGTGTTGAATACTTGTCGCTAGAAGTAATACAAAATCATTACAATGGGGTATAATTTTCGAATACGAATAATTTTGTTTTTTATGAGAAATTTATTGTGTTAAATTTGCATATTTTAAAACATAACTCATTTATTTTTATTAACTTAGCAATCTGTGTAGGTAAATTTAAATTATATAAAAGCTACTTTTCACTTTCGGCAATTCCATGCAATTATTCCTGAGAGGTACTTCGTGGTGTCTTCCCAATTCCGTTCACATTCAGACAATGAAAGGCAATAAAATATATATTTAAGAACTTATCTTTTAAAATAATTACAATAGAAGTAGGTATGTTTTATTTATTTTTTATATAAAAGGTAAAGAATAGCGAAAAAATTTAATATGCTGCATGTAAACATTGTATGCGATTGTCATTCGCAAATCTTCCGTGATATATTAACACATAGCGTGCCATCTCAGAAAATAAAATATCTCTAGTGGCCGTGGTGGACATGCGTTATGCACCAGCTTAGATTTTATGTTTAGCCACGGTGGGTAACGTAAATGCACCAAACCACTGAATAATGCTTATAAAGAGGTTTATAAAGCATATACAAACATGGTAGTAAAGTTGGTTTCTGTGTCACGCATGACAAGTCCCTACAAATGGTCAAACCTTTTTTCAGCAAAACAAATAGATATTCATACTTTTTATTTAAAAAGAAAAGATTATATGGCAATAAGAGCCTAAAAATAGTTTTTAGAAACAAAATTATGTTATAAAAAAATAATCAAAGCAAAAATATGTTGTAAACGCAGGACTGGCACCGATATTTAGTTTTTTTTTTGTTTTATTCTTCGTTGACTTAGTGTTTATAAATACAACATTTTCTTTGTAACGATTTGACCATTTCGCCATGTCATTCAAAGAATGATTTTTAGTTGAAACTTCTTGTGGGTCAGTTCCTTCTTGTTTTGTCAAAACTAAAACGTCATAACAGGTAGAGATACAGTCATAACATTACTGCTTCATTTCGAAATATTTTTAATTACATATTTATGGTTTATTATATTACACTGATTATATATTTACCAATGGAATCTTATTTAATTATATTTCATGCGCTTAATTCACAAGACGGGAGTATTGATTATCGGCAGTATACTTATTTGTTAAGTTAGTGTTAACATCGCTGCATGATAATATATGCTTGATGAACCCTCATAAGAGGTCACTTCCTGTGAGTTAGTTCTTACATCCGGCACTTAGATCAAAAAGGGTTGAAACATTTATGTGATCTACGCTGTAAATGGTGCATTTAGATAAGGCATTACAAGGATGAATATTTAATTGTTTTCTTTATAATTGCAAATTAATGTAGTTCTTTTATACGTAATATTTAAAAACATACATATATGTTCACATGTTTAATATGCTATTTAATTCTACATTACAGGTAAATGGAAGGAACTTTATATTGAGTATTGAGAATAATTTTTTTCGTCTTATTTCTCGTTAGTTTCCATGCCAAGTAGTTTACTATAATCTGATCAGTATTTGACATTGATGTTACACTTTTTGTACATACTTTCTCTAAAATCAGCTTTTTTGTTACAGATATAAACAGGAAATAGACTCGGACATAGATATTAGCGGTAACGAAGACTCTGACGATTCTGCTGGAGCCGAACCCACCAGATTGATCAAATCTATTAATAAGGGCCGGTGGAGCAAAGAAGAGGTAAGCCGAATTGAATTCCAGGTTATTTTAAAAAGTATGGGGTATTATCACATTACGCAGAAGGGATTTTTGATACCTCACAAATTAAAAAGAGGGTAACAAGTATAAAAAGTTAGAGGGGTTGGAATGATGCACCCTATCAAAATTATTAAAACTTATTAGAACTCACAGTAGAAACAGAATGTAGTAAGACTGCATACACAAGGTGAAGTTATTAATTATGGCGAACATAAAAATAAATACCGCTAAAATCATTTTAACAATCTTTTTGGAAGTTGAAGCAAAGATATGGGCGTTAAGTAACGCAAAACTACAAATATTTTCTTCACAAATTTCTACAATTAGATACTTAATATCGACTACAAAAACGGAAATTTTGACATTTTGATGAAGTAACTCTTACGAGAAATAATTTTTATCAAAAAAATATACTAAGTATAACGACATAAAAAAAGCGCTAGATATTTCTAGCAACAGAGACATAACAAGAATAATGGGGAATTTTAACGCTAAACTAGGAAAAGAGGAAGTAGCTGGGAAGTGGGAACGAAAAAGGAGACCGACTGGCGGAATTATGTCAGTAATTTAAGATGGTAGTGAAAAATATTTTGTTCCAATTACCAGCTCTTGTCTACCCAGAAGTCACCCGTACATAGTAAAGGGAGAACTACAAGAAACAAAATATATTCTACACTGATCAACAAGAGATACCCTAATTCGATCAAGTCGACAAATCCGGCAACAGCGTGGTCGGAAATCACGATCGAGAAAAGGTGCAACAAGAAATGTACTAAGCCAGTAAAGGAAAAAAGAACTGAAACTGAAAATCTGAAGGTTTTGAAGGTATATGACGGATGGCTGATGATAAATGCTTGAAGATAAATAAAAACACTTTTCATAAAAAGTGAAAAAATTCATTTTTTGTCTATACATTTTAATTTCTGGTACATTTTAGATAAAAAATGGTTCAAATAAAAGGTGTAGATATTAAAAGTTCTTTCATTTACTAGTTTCTAAATTAAACTACATACATAAACAACTGGCACGAGATAATTGCAAAAAACCCTTTTTGCATTAATTTGTAAATGTTTTTCTTCTTCATGTACCAAGTGCTTTCAGAACGTTGGTTACCATCATAGCTATCTTAATTTTATTCACTGCCACCCTAAATAGCATCAACACCATACCAATCTCGCAAGTTCTTCATCTATGAGGTTCTTCTTCGTCCTGGACTGCGTTTGCCTGCTATTTTTCCTTGCATGATATTTTGTAGCAACCTATATTTGCTACAATCTTCTCCACCTAGGAAACTTTAAAATTCTTCTATAGCACCACATTTCGAAAGCCTCAAGGCGATTTAGATCGATTGTATTCACAGGTCAGGACTCGACACAATAATATTGTAAATGTTACTAACTTTATTTTTTGCATGATGGCATGTAATATAACTACTTGAAATTATGGCAATTAATGAGTTATTGAAGTTTGCTAAATCTCAGTTAGATCGTCCAAATACTTTCTAAATTTTTTTCTCATAGGGCGATTATTTAAAAAATATACTTCCCAAACAGTGATTCTAGATGTATTTAGCATATCGCAATCAATTCGTTGAGGCTTCAATTTTAAGATATTCATATTAAAAAAAATTCAAACGTTTTATCAAACTTGTTATTAAAAAATCGTTTAAAAAGGGCATAATTTTTAGCTTTTAAACATTTATAATAACTTTGATATTTTTATTTAAAATATGGTGAAAAAACACATAATAGGAAACAAGAGACGATTTTCTTCTTAAAATCATATTTCCTTTGTTTATTAACATCAAGAGCTGAAAACTGTATAGATTATAAGTTAAGGTCTAGATTTTATGATCCAATTTATACATGGCATATACAGACAAGATGTAAAAGGTTCTAATCCGTGACAGTGATCGTACTCCGTAGAATACCGCCGCGTTAAAGTGAACGGGAGAACCCTCCGAGCTCCGTTTTTTAGAATGGAACTTCAAATTGAAGCGCACTGGAAAAATTTGTAATATTTCGCTTACTATGATACACAGAATTTCATTTTTTTAACTGTGGTAGCTCGAGAACATAGTAAGAACTGGTCTACTTTCACCTCCCGGAAAAATCGGAAAATCACGAAAAAATAAATAAATAATTTTTTTCATAAAAAAGGTTATTGTATTGTATTATTATTTGTAAGAAATATTTAAAGTTTAATCATTAAGGTATATTATGTAGGATAAATATATAATATAAATTAAAATTAATACTCCAACTAAAGAATCAAATCTTTTAGCGAAAGCCGCTATCGCTGTATGTATTAAATGGCCAACTATATGGCCTAGGAGACAAATTCGTTAAACTTCCCGTGCTCGAATTGGTATCACTAAAGTGTTATGATCATTTCGGCCTATCCCAGCCATCGTCAGACACTTGGGCTGATACAAATTCAAACTCGGAAAGTAAAACGAATGTCTCCCAATCTTCACTACCGTGTAGTTAGCTTATAAAGGCGCCCTCTATTTTGAAGGCCGTGAACGAAACGATATGAATAATCGTTTTCTGTATCCTTTATGCTATGCGAAATGTGTAAAGAATCAAATCTTTTAGCGAAAGCCGCTATCGCTGTATGTATTAAATGGCCAACTATATGGCCTAGGAGACAAATTCGTTAAACTTCCCGTGCTCGAATTGGTATCACTAAAGTGTTATGATCATTTCGGCCTATCCCAGCCATCGTCAGACACTTGGGCTGATACAAATTCAAACTCGGAAAGTAAAACGAATGTCTCCCAATCTTCACTACCGTGTAGTTAGCTTATAAAGGCGCCCTCTATTTTGAAGGCCGTGAACGAAACGATATGAATAATCGTTTTCTGTATCCTTTATGCTATGCGAAATGTGTAAAGAATCAAATCTTTTAGCGAAAGCCGCTATCGCTGTATGTATTAAATGGCCAACTATATGGCCTAGGAGACAAATTCGTTAAACTTCCCGTGCTCGAATTGGTATCACTAAAGTGTTATGATCATTTCGGCCTATCCCAGCCATCGTCAGACACTTGGGCTGATACAAATTCAAACTCGGAAAGTAAAACGAATGTCTCCCAATCTTCACTACCGTGTAGTTAGCTTATAAAGGCGCCCTCTATTTTGAAGGCCGTGAACGAAACGATATGAATAATCGTTTTCTGTATCCTTTATGCTATGCGAAATGTGTAAAGAATTAAATCTTTTAGCGAAAGCCGCTATCGCTGTATGTATTAAATGGCCAACTATATGGCCTAGGAGACAAATTCGTTAAACTTCCCGTGCTCGAATTGGTATCACTAAAGTGTTATGATCATTTCGGCCTATCCCAGCCATCGTCAGACACTTGGGCTGATACAAATTCAAACTCGAGCACGGGAAGTTTAACGAATTTGTCTCCTAGGCCATATAGTTGGCCATTTAATAAATACTCCAACTCTTTATTTAAATTAAAATAAAATCGATTTATTAAGAAGTTTTTACATTTCTGAATAAATGGTTTTAAAACAAATATTGAAATGAATCGTTGTGTACTTTACAAAACTAATTAATAATAATTATTATAGTATATAAGTAATATACATTAATTAATAAAATTTAAAAATTTCTTACGAAATAATGACAAAATTCAACTTTTTTATGTAACAATTTAACCAATTGCTTTTACCGAGATTTTCCGATTGTGTCGGAATGTGAAAATAGCACATTTCTTATTATTCTTATCGACTTACCGCAATTAAAAAAAATCAAGCTCTGCGTGTCGTCGAAACCGAGATATTGCAAATTTTTCAGCGCGATGTAATTTGAAGTGACATTCTAAAAAAAGTGGGGCTCGGACAGGCGGTATTTTACGAGTACCATCACTTTAATGGGTTATACCTTTTTACGCCTTCTCATTATATACCATCTATAAAATGGATCATAAAATTGAGATCTTCCTCCTGGTTTCTATTGGCCATCCCTCTCTTCAATCCTGACCCCAGAGGGAGTGTAGTGGTCGTTTCTTTTAACTCATGTATTGCTTATGCCTATAATTTGATCGATACATCTTGTTGGAAATCTTCGTGATCTTCTGTCTTCTACCTTTCCTTGGATAATAACTCTTTCCATTTTTTTGTTCTCATAACATGTCCAAAGTATTTTATTTGTTGGAGATAGACTTTGCTGGATAGCCGTTTGCTAACTTTTAGCTCATTTAAAATTGGCTTCTATCTTTCTTCTTTCCTCTTGTAGTAAAGTCTAAGATTCACATCCGTATGTCAGTATTGAATATTAAGCAATTGATCAACCCCATGTTTTGAGTTCGTAAAATTTGAGAGCCCTTCCATATTTTGGCTATCTTTCCTACGCCGACTTTTGCGTCACATTGCGTTACAGATCACATTTACGTTTTATTTCTTAACCCTACTACTGACAAGCGCGTGATATAAATATCACATTTATTCTAAATGTTTATAAGCTAAAAAGCCAGCCCTTTCTAATTTTTAACTCTTTAACAGTTTTTTATTAACAAATTGATAAGATATTGAATTTTTTTTAATATATCGTAAAATTGAAACCTTAAAGTATCGATTGCGATCAGGTAAATACATCAAGAGTCACTGTTTGGTCAAGTACAGTTGTTAAAATAATCGCCCTCCGGGAGAAACAAATTGAGAAGGTCACTTACAAACTATTTGGTGGAACGAGCTGAGGTTTAGCCTATTTATAATAACTCATTAATTGCTATAATTTCAATAAGTAATACAACATGTCATTATTCAAAAAACAAAGTTATAAATTACTGCAAAAATAAGGCTTTCTTTTTTCTAATCATCTCTAGGGCAATTGTTTATGTAGTTTAATTTTGAATTCTCGCAAATTAAAGAACTGTTTTAAGGTCTACAACTTTTATTTGAAACATTTTTTTCTAAAATATATAACTTTTAATAGCAAAAAAAGGATTTTTTTCATTTACCTTTTAGAACCTTCAAAAACCCGTAAAATTTTTTACGTGAAATCGATGATTTTTCACAGATTAACTGGAGTGTACCTGGATAATGAAATTACATTAAAATAAAAGTGAGAAGCAGAACAAAAAGATACAATATAGCAGGGGAAAGTACGGATTTTCAAAAGAAAAAAGACATATATAAATAGATCATAATATAAAAAGGCCGGATATTGGAAACAGACATATAAAAGCTAACCGGATAAGATGGACAGGTCATGTGGTAAGATCAGAGGAAGACATAGTGCTAAAGACAGTGTTTTTTTGAGAGACCAGACGGTAGAAGATCAGTAGGATGTCTCAGAAAAAGATGAAAGGATGATGTTGAAGCTGATTTATCTATGATTGGGGTATAACAATGGGAAATGGAAGTGCAAGATAGTAGAAGACATATAAGCTATAGTGAATGCGGCAAAGACTCACCCCGAATTGGAAAGTCAGTCAAGAAGAAGAAGGACATTAGAAATAGCTGATGTAATGCAACAAAAGTGGAAAACTTACAGTATAACGGATGGGTTCTGCTAAAGAAGTGGAAAGAAATCAACATGTTCAGCCAAATGAGTGAAAACCATTGGATACCTACTGCTGAAGATATGTCATAGAGAACAAGATAAACAACCGAACACAACGTTATTTATAAAAATTTACTTGAAGCAGACTTTACAAACAAAAACAATTAAATAATCGTAGTAAATAATAATGATATTATTGTTTTTCTAGGGTAAGTACGTTATTCTATTTTTCTTTGGTCATTGTCAGTATTTATAAGTAAGTTATAGATTGTGTGGTTAATTATTATTGGTTTTTTATAATCATAATATGAGAGCATATGATGATTTCCGTTTTATTACTTTGTAAAATTTGTTCTGTACTTAATTTGTATTGCAATCGAGGTTTCTTGAAAGTTGCTTCCCTACGTTTTTTAAATCTTTTCTGTTTGCTACCCTCGAACAGTAATTCAGGTTGAATCCTCTAATATTCCGGTTTTTCTTTCCAGGACGCAAGGTTAAAGCAATTAGTGGAAGAATACAGTGAAAAGTGGGATGTCATAGCCGAACATTTCCCTGACAGGTCTGACGTACAGTGTCAACAGAGATGGACGAAAGTCGTCAATCCTGATTTAGTCAAGGGCCCTTGGACGAAAGAGGTGAGTTCTGTGCAAAACCAGTTTTTTAGACTCTTGGGTAACATTATTCAAATGACGTAGATGATAACCTTTTTGTAGTAAATAGTATTAACTACCATTACATAAAAAACAAGTTTATGTTGTATGCTCTTTTGATATTTGATCTGGGGTAAGAATAAAAAAATCTTGTTTTGATAATGGGTCTTGGTTTTGGTATTTAGCAGTATTTATCGGCATTTATCATTTTTTCTGGGAATTGATTAATTGGGATACGATACAATAGCAACACAAATTGCGCACCATATTAGAACTATGCTATGAATTGTCTCATAGCACATATCTCATTAAAACGTCCACCGACGTCTTGCGATTCCTAATCTCCGTTCCTCTCTATTTTTACACATGTCATTTTCCAAGCCAGTCTCTCTCTATCTCTTTGTCAACGCCTTCTCCCCTACTTTTTCGTTGTGTTCCTCGTTATCTCCTTTTTTTATTCCATTCTAGATGCACGCTATCGTACGTTTTTTTTTAAATCAACATATATGCATTTCTTGATTATATGTTAATTTTTTTTCCTATTATTTGTGTCAGTGTAGACAAATGGCCAATTGTTGATCGTCCTGCTCTAAATCTGGCTTGTTCTTCTGTCTCTATTTCGTTGTATTCATTTTCAACCCTTTTTTTATTATCTTGAAGTAGATTGTACTTAGTGTATTTGTTACATCAATTCCCCGGTAATTATCATAGTTGCTTCTGTACCCGTTTTTGCTACTATCGATATTATAGGATATTTTCCATTCTAAGTTGTTTCGTATTTTCTAAACCTTCTGTGTATGATGATTAATACTCCTTGTTGTGTCTGTTCTATTCTCTTTAGGAACCCCATTATAGAAACGATCATGTTTTCCCCAACTTTCTAATCCTCTACCTTGTTTACAATGTTCCATATAAAATGTGTAAAATTAAAACAAAAAGTGTTCTGTTCAGACGCATTGTATATCTTACCATTTATTATATTGTCTATCAAACTATTATTTATAGATATTTCCCCAAACCACAACAATTGCGTAATAATGACGTCTGATTGAGTCTTATCGACTAGTTTTGAATGGTTTCTTTTTTAGCAAATAGGTTATCTTCAAAATAGTAGGCTGATTTTGATAAATTGCTGATTGTGGTACGAAAATATAGAGCACCTAGTTCGTGTGGATTAGTTTTTGATTGTAAATACCGATTAGACACCACCGGACATTCCATTTTGTTTACATTTAAAAATATAATTTTTGTGCTTTGCGTCAATTAAAATTAAAATCAATTCATAAAATGCTCGAACTTTCAGGCTCTTAAACTGATCTATTTCCTATTTTTAATGGTTTTCAGTATTGATATTTTTTCTGTACTACTACCTTATCGAATAGTATTGCATTCAGTATGATATACGTCCCTTAATACAAATTTTTATGTCTCTCGTATTTTTTTAATCTATCTGTATGAAAATCCCAAAATTGTCTGAACATCCAATGTTAAGCCTTTCTCTACCTCTAAAGGAATTTAGTTATCTTAAAAATTAAAACAAAAAATTAGATTTCCTAATTATTAAAAGTTTTACAAATCATACCGAATAATTAAGATAATAATGGGATGGAAGAGTTTTATCGTCTATATGAAGCAAAAAACTAATTTAAAAATAAAATAAAGCATTGCTACAAGATCGTTTGTAATAAGAGGACTTATTCACTGGTTTCTGAGTCATTTTAGGAATCTTTTCTTTTTCCTTGTTTCTACGGGCCCATTTTATACACGCAGTTAGGATGAAATACTATCAGGCACATAATCTAGGGCTATAATCCCCAGAGTTTGTCAGCTCTCTTTGCTTGTCGGTTTGCTTTATTTTATTTTCAAAATGAGATACCTAATTGTCCGCTAAAAGCAAACTTTTAGCCGGCATTAATAGTGACGAAACATAACAAGAGACGCATTGTGAAAAAATTGTACGAATTAGACTTGGATTGGGGGAAGCATGATAGAAAAGCTGTGCATATAGAGAAGGAAATAATAATTTGTTACAAGACACACGATATATACGAGAAATTCGAAAACTGAGAACAGTAAGCATTAATATTTTTTATCTAATATTTCTCTATGGTAAAGTAAACTGACGTTCTCTGCCACTGATATTATATTGTTTACTATTTATAATAATTGTTTTGCCTTGAACAGTCTGTGCTGTTATGCTTTTTCAAGTATAACAAAAATTCTTTGCTTTCCGTTAAGGTGGATAATCCGTATCTTTATGAAATAGATAAAAATAAAATTACAGGTATATTGTGAAGATTGATAATGACTACCAATAACAATTTATAAGTTTCTTCTAAAAAAATGTCAACAGTGTAGAACGAAAAGAAGAAACTGCGATAACACTGATAAGATGGATACTCATCAGACCTTTTTATATTTTACACAATGGTAACAACAAACGAACAAAAATTAATGAAAAACTTGGATAAATAATAAAAAATACCGAATTATATATTTTTGTGATCATGAGAATATTTTCGCATTTAGCATAGATAAACGTTGCATTGCTATCTAGAAATCTTTGGATGTTGGCGACAAACTCTACATGGAAATATTTCACTAACCTGTTTACAAAGACCATATGCTCGTGACTTATGCCGCTCTGCATCCTTAATGAATACTTCCGGTGTACGAAACGTAGCTTGTGGGAATAAGGCGTTCAACCAAATCAACTCTGTGTCTCTTCCCTAGGTAAAAACAAGCATCGCTGCAACTGTTCTTTGTTTTTCTGGATTCGTGAACAATATGCTGCAATTTTTATTAGAAAAAGTTTTGTTATGTTAACTACCGTGTCCGAGTAAGGTAGAACTAGCCTGGGAATGTGTAGATGTTTGAGAAATTTGTTCAGTACATATTTATGAACATAATGGGTACATAAATTAGGCTAAATAATTAATTGGGTTATTGGTATATGGTTTATAGTTATTGTATCTAGGTATGTACCCATAAAAATTGAAGAAAGGTAAATATATTAGATATCGAATAATATTATCTTCTACTGAATACCGGATACTGTGCTTACATTTGAATGCAAGAAAGTTTTTGGACATAAAATAGTTCAAAAAATAACAATAACAAGATATTTTTGAAATTTCATCCCAAATATCGATCCTCAAGACAATAAAAACTAATATGAATATGAGGTAAAGTATGCCAATGCCAATTGATATGCAAAATATTTCGTCATGAAAATATGCAGGCCACAGGAGCTTTTCAAAAAGTAAAACAAGCTGTAACAAAAAGAATTATTACAAGAAAAGTGTGGATCACAGTTAGATGCAGGTACTTTAAAGTTTATACGAATGAAGATGGAAATATACACTTCAAAGATTTTTTAATGAATCCCTGAAGAATCCCAAATGTCGTAGCAAATGTTAAACTTTAGACATAAATTCAGCATTTTGGTCAATACATGTGAGTATACAAAACAAGAAAAAAAAACGGCATTTGTAACACAAGAGAGGCATTTTCAATGGACTTGCCTCTCATTTGGTTTGAAGACGGTTCTGGCAATTTTTCAAAGGATTTTAAGTAGTGTAGTAATATTAACAGAAGTGTCAGTATTGAAATTAGTGTTAGACACGAAAAACTGAGCGAAAACACGCGAATCTTAAGTGACAAGCGTTGTCATAATAAAATACAAAGTTGATGTTATTGTCAAAGCCGTTACCTAGCTACCCAAAATCGTCCCAAAGTGAAAACATTAGTCCCGAAAGTAGCTACTTTCGGTACGAGTTTTGTAAAATGGTACTTTCGATTTATAATAAATTATACCGAAAGTCTTGCTTTAGGGACGGCTGCAGAAAAATATATTTACAATACAATTTTTTAAAAATAATTCCATCAAATCTGTAGATTATCTGAATGCCGTAAAAAAATCCCTATTCCAGAAACAAGAAAGAATGTACGTCAATTCTTTGGGAAAATAAATTATTATCATAGCTTTATTTCAGATACTGCAATATATAGACCATTTCTTAAAACGCTTCTATTTTGGCATCGAGAACACAGCATTCTAACGACTTTATAAAAATTATTAAAATGGTGACACCAGATCACAAAATAACAACTTTGTTAACTGATCAATATCCTGGCATAAATTACAAAGAATTCAAAGATTTTCTACGGAACAATCAATTTTAAATTGATATTTACTGCTGTTAATGCAGCATTTTCAAACGGTAGCAATGAAAGACTAAACCAAACATTGGCAAAATAAATGAACGTGATAAGAAAACAGCACAAATATCCACATTTTTAAATTCATAATTTATCACGCTTTAAATAATGGTATTTTTTTAAATTAGCCAAATGCAGACATTGATTTTCTAAATTGAGTATCAATATATTGAGTTTTGTTAATTTCTTGACGAAGAGAAATAAACATAATTTTAAAATTTCACCTTGTATTATTCATAATGGAACTACATATTTAGTTTGTTGAGATATATTGTTCAGAGCGTAGGCGCAAAATTTCGGGCTAATGCTTTTTAAATGCATTTTTTTTTTTCGAATCCTGAGAAAACTAATAAATATTGTTGAAAACTTTAAACGCAGAATGAAAGAATACATTATTATCATAGGCCGAAAAACTTCTATGTTTATTTTAGTAAGTTAAAGGGGTGAAAAAGAAGAGAAAATAAAGTGTGATTTTAATTTTGAAAAGAATTTTTTGTTTATTCTAAGGGACTGCGTTTAAATTTTTAAAAGTATTTATTGGTTTTCTCTGGATTCGAAAAAATCTCTTAAATCTCCCTACGCTCTTAGCTTTTAAAAACAAAAATATACAAGTTGTTTCGTTAAAAATAAAGATGATGAACTATGCCAGACTAACATGAATCACCCTGTATATTCAAATTTATATTTAAAAAGCGCACATTGGAATTTAAAGATGAGTCGCAACATTTTTCTTTTTTATTTTCTCAAACAGGGACACAAACAAT